GTGGTAGTGGTAGCGCGGTTCGCACAAGACATAAAATCAGTATGTGGGGTTCCTCGGTAGCGTAATTTTTTTTTGCGCCAGGGATTCTTGAAGCTTACGACTTTTGATAAACGAGGGCGCGCGCACCGTATTTTTTGTAGAGGATGGTGGTGGGGGGGTCGATACCGGTTGGGCTGAGATGCAACGCGTTCGTATTTCGGATGGACGATGGGGCAGACTCATATGTAAATTGCAATACGAAATCGGGGTACCGATAATCCCTAGAGGGTATAGTTTGTTTTTACCCATGAGTTGACACATCCCATGCTCTTGCAAACATCCCACCTACCCACCGCAACTTGGTTTGCCAAACCTGTGCGGTGGCGATTGCGATGCATGGTTGGCGTTGGCTGGTGCATCTCTGCGGCCGCGCTAGCCCGCGCATGCGCGCGCTGCGGCCAGCTAGCTTGGTGCCACCGACGCGGCCGCATGGGGCGCTGACCGCTGGGCGCATCTCAGCGGGCATTTCACTGCGAATCGGCGACTTGGGCGGGCGCGGTATCATGGCAACGCCGACTACGGTAGACGCGATGATGATGATAGTGCCGATGCTGGTGACGATATTCGCACCGACGAAAAAGGGGAGGAAGATGAAGAGGAGCAGGAGGAGGGGGAGGAGGAGACGAAGGAGGAGGGGGAGGAGGAAAAGGAGGAGTGAGCAGCCATGATTGTTTATGACGTGAACCCTGAGAGGTGTGGACCCCTTCCTGTGGACTGTTTTTTCTAGCATTGGGGAAAGCGGATCCTGAGGGAACCCGGTCCTGGACCCTGGGGCTTTTGCCCAGCACGAGCTTTTCATCCCGAGTCGTTTTCTGACAATCCTGGGGCCCGACCATTTTCTTATCCACCCAAGGGATAACGCATGTTTCCCGCCCCCCCCCCCCCCCGTCCCCCCCCCTCGTAGCGGTGACGCCTCGGCCCCGATCCAGCGCGCGATCCCGGGCAGCTTAGGGCCTGTTGTGCACGCGGGCGTGCATTGTGGTGCACGCAGACAGTGCTGTGTACACGGGCGTTCTGGCGCACGCATCTGTCGTTGCAGCAGCAGCCGTGGTGTACGCAGGCATAAAGGGTGTACGCAAGCATTGTGGTTTACGCATCACCAGCACCGTGGTGTACACAGGCGCCGTGGTGCACACAATTGCTGTAGTGCGCAAGGTCGCTACGATGTAAGCGTGCGTTGTGGGCTATAGTGGGCCCGCGCATATCTTCGCACTTTTTCCTCCTCCTCCTCCTCCTCCTCCTCCTCCTCCTCCTCCTCCTCCTCCTCCTCCCTATTCATTTTCGTGCGCACAGGCGTTGTGCTTCACATTCGCTGTGGGCTCACACTGTCCAAACATTCCTCGGGCCAGAAGAACCAATAATCACACTCATATCATACTATTGGATATGATACATGCGGCTCCCCAGCAATTACCCGGACTTCGGTTCCGTCGGGACCGTGGAGGTGTACGCAAACTGTGTGGAACACGCAGGCAGTGTGGTGCACGCAGAAAGGGTGCTGAAACAACAGCTATGGTGTCAATCGTAACAGGCGTTGCGGTGCAGACGGTTGATGTGGTGTACATCGGCGTTGCTGTGTGTATAAAAGTGTTATCCTGAAAACAAGTATTTTTGCTCCCAGAGTGGGTGCTGGCTGGAATTTCCTGTTGCTGTTCCTGGTGCGTGTCCTGCTGCGCCTCCTTCTGCTCTTCCTGCGCCGCCTCAGCTGATGCTCGTGCTGCTCCTGCTGCTGCTCCTGCTGCTGCTGCTCCTGTTACTCCTCCTGCTGCCTCTCCTGCTGCTCCTCCTGCTGCCTTTTCTGCTCTTCCTCCTGCTGCTTCTTCTGCTGCGCCTCCTTCGGCGGCGGGCCTGGGGGGAAGAGAGAGGGGCGGACCTTCTCAGAGCTCTGGCCTTCCGAGGAGGGCGCTATGGCGTGCGCAGTTGCGGGCGCCGTGGTGCGCGCAGTTGCCATGGCGGGCACAGTCGTTCTGACGTGCGCAGGCGTTGTGGGCCCAACGTATCCCAGCGTTCCTGGGGCCAGAAAAACAAATAATCACAATCGAGCCATCTATTGATTTTGACACGTTTGGGCCCCATTCCGAAAGACCCATTGTTCTTGCGACCCCATCCTGAAAGACCCCTCTTTGCCCAGGACCAGCCCACCTCGTGCGCGTACTCTGGCGCTCTCGGCGGCTCCCCCGCCCCGGGCGGGGTGCCGCACCCCGCCCGGGCGCTATGCCGCGACCCGCGGGCGTCCCCCCCCGCAACGACCGCTACTGGAACTGCTGCAGAAGCAGGGTCGAGGAGCCAGCCTCCTCCTCCTCCTCCTCCTCCTCCTCCTCCTCCTCCTCCTCGTCTGAGATCCCACGTGGCGTTTCTTTTTAGTCAGCAGCCGCAGGCGAGAGCGCAAACGGCGAGTCGAGTCAGAGCGGGCCGCGCAAAGACGAAGTACCTAAAGCCGGCGGGGCCTCAGGCATCACCACGGCGGGCAGGGCCGGCGGGTGGGGGTGCAGGCTGCGGCATGGCGTTTCAACATGCAGCCTCGTAAAAATTCATGGCCCCAGACATGCGACGCCGGAAGTCCAGGCCCTTTCCCCAGGGCCAGTTTTTCATCCTGAGTCGTTTTTTGACGCTCCCAGGGGCCGGCGAGGGCCCCCAGTGGCCGAAAATACAGAAAACTTGCCGTCCTGATTCTTTGACGACGCGATCACGTCTGGGGCTGGAGCATGGGGCCCCATCTTTTTTCTCCGCCAGCTTTCGAGCCGGGTCGGGCGCGAGTGCTCCTGGGCCCCGGAGCCGAGGCGAGAAATTGCCGGGCTCTGGAGGAAGCGGGGGCGCCAGCGCTTCCAGGGGTGACAGAAAGCGTCCCGTAGCTTATGACGTTCCAACCTGCTGCAACCTCGATCACCACAGAATCTCGAGCACCAGGGCAGCACCGACACCAGAGGGTCTTCGCGTGTCGGGCCCCGAGGGGCGGGGCGGTACTCGTGCGACACCGCTTCGATGCCCTCCTGGGTTCTGAACGCCCGACCTGGGTACGGAAAGAACGGGTACGATGCCCAACAACAAGTCCTGTCCATTTTGAACAGGATTCGCTGTCCACGCCGCCGCGGCCTGTGTCCATTCGAGACAGAAGGCCGCCTGCCCAACATCGGCCGCTGTCGGTTTGGGACAACATTTGTTGTTGGCCACTGTACCCATTCTCTCCGTGCCCATTTCGGGCGTCCAAACGGGTGCTCGAAATGCTTTCTGGGGTGTGGTCTTTTGAAGTGCGACGGGAGCAGCACAGCCCGCAGCGAACCTTCTTCACGAGGCGAGGGGGTCGCCCCGAGGCCGCCGGCGGCCGCCCGACTGGCCGCTCGCGGGCCGCCCGCTGGCGCGGCGAGGCGCGGAGCAGAGGGCCCCACGGCGTGCGGCGTGCGCGTGCGGCGCCGCAGCGGCACGGCGCGCGCGGCGTGCGGCGTGCGGCGTGCGGCGTGCGGCGTGCGGCGTGCAGTCTGCAGTGGAGCGCGCCACGGCGGCCAGGATCTCAGGCGGGGGAGGACGCATGTACTCCTCTGGCTCCACCTGCTCCTCGTGCTCCTCCTCCTCCTGCTCCTCCTCCTCCTCCTGCTCCTGCTCCTCCTGCGCCTGCTCCTCCTCCTCCTCCTCCTCCCCCCTCCTCCTCCTCTCCTCCTCCTCCTCCTCCTCCTCCGCCTCCTCCACCTCCTCCTCCTCCCCCCCCTCCTCGGTCGGTCGCGTGCCGCGCCCGAACGTCCTGGAACTTGCTCGGAGAGGTGGGTTTCGGGGCGCGACGCGCGACCCCCGCCCCCAAATGGTCCCAATAATTATTCCTCCCTCCTCCCATTTCCTCCCTCCTCCTCCTCCTCCCTCCTCCGCTCCTCCCTCCTCCTCCTCTCCTCCCTCCTCCCCTCCTCCCTCCTCCTCCTCCTCCTCCCTCCTCCTCTCCTCCTCCTCCTCCCCTCCTCCTCCTCCTCTCCTCCTCCTCCTCCTCCTCCTGCTCCTCCTCCTGCTCCTCCTGCGGCGGTCGCGTGTCTGCCGCGTGCTGGGACCTCTTTGAATTTAACCTCCGTTACACGGGAGCGCCGCGTGACCCGCAGTCCGCGCTTCCCGGGCCCGCCTCCTTCCGCAGCCGGCCGATGGCCCAGCGCCCGCCCCGGCCCTCCGCCGGCCGCGCGCCGCTGTCCGGCGTCGCTGCGCAGCGGCCGCTGCCTGCGTCCCCCGCCGCCGACGCTGCCTCCCGGCGCCGCGGTCCCGCTGGTGGCGCGCCTCCGCCGCCGGCCGACGCCTCCTGCGCGCTGTCCGGGGCCCGCCCCCGCCAGACGCCGCCGTCCACCCCCCCGCCGCCGTCGCGCGCCGCGCCCCCGCCGCCGGCACGCCGCCGCCCCCGGGCTCCAGCCTCGCCACTCCAGGTGCTCCTGCGCCCCGGGCGCGGGCGCGCGCCGCGCCCCGCGCGCGCCTCAGGCGGGAAGCCCGCCCCGCTCGGCGTCGCGCGCGGCGGCGCAGCGGGGCCGGCTGACGCCGCCGCCGCCGCCTGCCCGCCGCGCGCATCGCCCCCGCGCCCGGCGCAGCCCGCGGACGGCTGCAGCGCGCCCGCCGAGCTCGGGCGCGCCGCGGCGAGCACCCTCGGCGTCCCCGCCGGGCCCAGGGTCCGGAGGAGCCGCCTGGGCGCCTCCTTCCCGGCCGCGCCCGAGCGCTCCCAAGCGCAAAGCCGTCAGGGCGACGGGGCCTGGCACACGGAGCCCCCGCTCCTCCCAGGCAGCAGCGCGGCGCCGTCCCGGGTGGCGCGGCCCGGCCGCGCTGGCCGTGTCCTCCTCCTCCTCCTCCTCCTCCTCCTCGATCCTCCTCCTCCTTCTCCTCCTCCTCCTCTTCCTTGTCCTCTTCCCCTTCCTGTTCCCCCCTCTTCCTCGTCCTCTTCCTCTTCCTCTTCCGCCTCCTCACCACCGAGCGCCCCTGACCATCGGCGCCCCCCCCCCCGCAAGGCGGGGCCGGGACGTCGCCGTGAAGCGGCTGAACGCCCAGCGCACCATGGTGCCCATTTTCGTGCGGGGCTTGGCCGCCTCGTCGTGCAGCGCTCTCTGGCCCGCCCTCATTGAGCTGGGGGGTGGTCTTGAGGGCGGCCAAGAGGGGGTGGGTGGATGATGATAATAATGATGATGATAATGATGATGATGATGATGATGATGAGGATGATGATGATGATGATGATGATGGTGATGGTGATGGTGATGGTGATGCTGATGATGATGATGATGATGGCGGTGATGCTGATGATGATGATGATACCGATGATGACAATGCTGATGTTAATGCCGATGCTGCTGAGGATGATGCTGCTGCTGATGATGCTGATGCTGAGGATGATGATTACGGTGATGATGATGATGCTGATGCTGCTGCTGATGATGATCGCGATGACGATGATGCTGATGCGGTTGAGATGATACTGCTGCTGCTGGTTATGATGATGGTGATGATGGTGATGATGATGATGATGATGATGATGATGATTCTGACGAGGGTGATGATGATTATGTGCGCATGCTGGTTACGATGGTGGTGATGCTGATGCTGATTTTGATGATGATGGTGATGATGATGGTGATGATTATGATGACAATGATGGTGGTGGTTGTGGTGGTGATGATGATCCTTGTGGTGAGGATGAGGATGAAGATGAGGCTGAGCAGAGAGAGGAGGATGAAGATGGGGATGAGGATTTGGATGGGGATGATGATACGGATGAAGATGGGATTGAGGATGAGGATGATGAGGATGACTTTCGGATGATGATGATGATGATGATGATGATGATGATGATGATGATGATGATGATGATGATGATGATGATGATGATGATGATGATAATGATGATGATGATGATGATGGAGAGGAGGAGGAACAGGATGACGGTGTTTGATGATGTTTATCATGCTGCTGATGATGTTGGTGACGATGATGGTGGTGTTGGTTATGATGCTGCTGAAGAGGATGATGATGATGGTGATGATGATGCTGCTGGTGACGATGCTGATTCTGACGATGATGATGAGGCGGAGGATGATGAGGATGATCATGGTGTTGTTGTTGATGTTCATGATGATGCTGATGCTGATTGTGATGATGATGGTGGTGGTCATGATGTTGACGATGATTATGCTGATGCTGCTGCTGCTGATGCTAGTGATGAGTATAATGGTGATGACGATGCTGCTGCTGGTTATGATGCAGATGGTGATAATGAGATTGATGCTTATTGGTTAGGCTGCGGGTGATGTTGGTGGTCATAGCAAGGGGGAGGAGGTCGGTATTGCTTATGTTCATGATGTTGATGATGCTGATGTTGGTGTTGATGATGATGACGATGAGGATGAGGATGGTGATGCTGATGATGAGACGGAGGATGATGAGGATAACGATGATAACGATGATGCTGGTTACGATGATGGTGATGACGATGATGAGGATGATGCTGATGACGATGATGAGGGTGATGGTTATGGGTGATGCTGCCGATGATGCTGGTGTCGATGATTCTAGTGATGAGGAGGAGGACGGTGTTGCTGATGTTGATGGTTTTGATTATTATGCTGACAATGATGGTGATGCTGCTGATGCTGATGCGGATGATGATGATGCTCATGCTGCAGATTCTGATGATGGTGATGAAGAGGAGGAGGAGGAGGAGGAGAAGGGGGAAGAGGAGGATGATTATGATGATAAGTATGATGGTGTTGATGATGTTGACGACGATGCTGATGATGATAGTGATGCTGATGAACCTGATGATGACCATGATGATGATGATGATGATGATGATGATGATGATGATGATGATGATGATGAGGGTGGTTGTCCTGGGGTATGATGATGCTGATGCTGGTGATGCCGATGGCGAGCAGGACAAGGACGGTGTTGCTGATGTTGAACTTGTTGATGGTGATGCTGCTGATGATGATGATGGTGATGATGATGATGCTAATGCGGATGATTATGGTGATGACGAGGGTGACGCTGATGATGATGGTGCTGATGATGTTGATGATGCTCATGATGTTGTTGATGATGATGATGGCGATGCTACTGATGATGTTGATGATGATGATGATGATGATGATGATGATGATGATGATGATTATGATGGTGATGATGAGAGTGACGCTTATTGATTATGGTGCGGATGATGACGGTGGTCATGGTAAGGAGGAGGAGGATGGTATTGCTCATTTTCATGATGTTGATTACGGAAGTGATGATACTGATGCGGCTGCTGCTGATAATGTTGATGATGCTGCTGCTGATGATGTTTGTGATGTTGATGATGATGATGATTATGATGATGATGATGATGATGATGATGATGATGATGCTAATGATGAGGCTGATGATGATACTGATGATGATGATGATGATGATGATCATGATGATGATGACGGTGATGGTGATGGTGATTGTGATGATGATGATGATGATGATGATGATGATGATGATGATGATGATGATGCTTGTGATGATGGTGGTGGTGGTGGTGATGTTTTTAGTGATGCCACCTAGTCCAGAACCCCATTCTGAAATGGATTTCCTCGTCCGTCCTGTGCACATCCCCTCCAGCTACAAGAAACGCGTAGTGGCCGGACCGTTCAGGAAACCATATAGCGAGGGCCTTTTTTTGAACACATTTTTCGGTGTCGCACAGTTTTTTGATCGATGAATCCTACTGCTCAGCGTGGAACTTCCGCTCATACCATTGATCACGCTTCAAGTAAGAGCCCCATTTTGAACAGGGGCCTCCTCCTCCTCCTCCTCCTCCTCCTCCTCCCTCCTCCTCGCTCCTCCCTCCTTCCTCCTCCCTCCTCCCCTCTCCCTCCTCCCTCCTCCCTCCTTCGCCTCCCTCCCCTTCCTCCTCCTCCTCCTCCTCCCTCCTCCCCCTTCCGTCGCCGCCAGTGTTGTGCCGCCCTTCCCGCCGCCGCCGGCGGCGGCAGGCCGCCAGCAATGGAGCCGCCCCCGCAGGAGCCTCGCCCGCCCCCCGCGGGCGGCGCCGACGGGGCGCCAGGGCGGGCGGGGGCGGAGGGCGCGGTGGGCGGCGCCGGCGGGCCCTGCGCCGCTGCGCCGGCGCCGGCGGAGGGCGCGGGCCGCCGGGGGCGCTGGCGACCCCAGCGGCAGGGCCGCGCCCGAGCCGGCGGCGGCGGAGGGCCCCTGCGAGGGCGCCGCTGCGACAGCGCCGGCGGCGGAGGGCGTGGCCGCGGAGGGCGCGGGTGCCGGCGGCGCCCGCGGCGGGCCGGGGGGGGGCGCGGAGGGCTCCGTGGCGCGGCGGCCAGCGGCGGAGGGCGGGGCCGCGGAGGGCGCGGCTGCGGGCGGGCCCCGCGACGAGCCAGCGGAGGACGGGGGCGGGCGCAGCGGCGCCCGCGGCACGAGCTTCTGGCGCTCCTTACCAGCCTGGAACCTATCCCGATCCCTATGTTTGACGTCACCTCACCTCGATGCCGATCTCAAGGATTCCCTCAGTTTTTGAGGGCCTATCCCTAAGATTGTCCTCGCTTTTTGCTCGCCCATCTTAGGGATAGGGATACGGTCGAGGCTGGTTAGCTCCGCGCGCCTGGGCCCCGCGCCTAGGCGTCCCAGCGGCGCCTCCGGCGCCGCCCCTGCGCTCCGCGCGCCAGGGAGGGGGGGGGGTCCAGCGCGACTCCAAGAAGTCCGCGCGGGGCGCCACAAGTTTAGGTTTATGTGTTTGTTTGTTCTTCTTCTTCTACTTGAGGAGCAGGGGCAACGTGTGGGGAAGGGGGGCGACAGGCTCGAGGTTGAAGTTTTCCGGGCGTTCTCGGCGGTTTTCTGGCCTCGGGGTGCCTTCCAGCAGCTGCGCCTCGCCCGAAGCGTTCTGGGGGCGCCCGGACGGTCCCGGACGGCTTCCTGGGGGATGATGGCCCGACCCCCATTCGCCCACTGATTGCCAATAGTCAGGAGGGGGAAAAACACACAGACACAATCAATCGTCGACTCCCAGGAAAGTATGGGAAGGAGGGGGGGAAGACAAAAACCCAGACAATATTGGAAAATATGGGGAATAGTTTTATTTGTGTGTATTTATTTGTGTGTCCTGGGGCCCCTTCAAGTAGTTAGGGGCCTGACAGCCCACCGCCCAGGAGCGCGCGATTTCCCCGTCGGGGGCCCATCGCCGCCGATCTAGCGGCGATGTATGGCCGATTCCAGGTCGATCTCCCCCCGTGGGCCAGACCCCACCTCCACCCCAGACCCCCAACGCCATGTTTTGTTTCACAACGTTGTCCCCCAGCGGTCTGGATTTCTTCCCAGGGACGGGGCTTGTTATTCGTAGTCGGTCTTCTGACGTCCCCGATGCCCCGTAAGGGCTCCCGGAAGCCAAACATGAAAACCTCCAGTCGTGATTCTTTCACGACGCGATGGGGATCGGCGCGGGAATTTCTAAGGGGATATGGGGTATCAAGGAATATTTCCCCAATCAGAGCTTGCCTCTGTAGGGGTCCTAGCGGATTAAAGGATTAGGTGAGAGGTGCGGCCGATTTCGGTGGCCGGGCCCGGGTGCCCGGGTGCCCGGGTGCGCGGCGGTGCCCGGGTGCTCGGGTGGCCGGTGAGGTGCGTGGCCGATTTCGGTGGCCGGGCCCGGGTGCCCGGGTGCCCGGGTGCCTGGGGGTGCCCGGGGGTGCCCAATAGCCCAGTAGCCCAGTAGCCCTATAGCCCTATAGCCCTATAGCCCTATAGCCGTATAGCCGTATAGCCCTAATAGCCTTATATCCCTATAGCCCTATAGCCCCATAGCCCATATAGCTCTATACCCCCATAGCCCTATAGCCCTATGGCCCTATAGGTCACAGTCCTATAGCCCTATAGCCCTATAGCCCGATAGCCCTATAGCCCTATAGCCCTATAGCCCGATAGCCCTATAGCCCGATAGCCCTATAGCCCTATAGCCCTATAGCCCGCCCTATAGCCCGATTACAAAAGGGAACAATTGGAATATCAAAAAATCTGATTGTTTTTTTTCTCCGGTATCATTTATCTAGCCTCACTAGCTTA